ATATATATAAATCTATGACTTCCTTGCCTGGGGGACAGATTAAACATAACCAACAGGCCCCGGTCTCTGCCATCCTTAAAAACAGGAAGGGTTACACTTCTATTTAAAGTAACACAGACTTCTGTTAAACTTTTTAAGCTTCTGTTTTAAGGCTCACAGGGGTGACACAGGGGTGACAATAAATGATAAGATGCTTATGATATCAGCTTATTGTTAGACGGTTATTACGAGCTTTAACCAATATCAAAAAGGAAAGTCAGATTTGTTAAACAATTTTCTGCTTTGTTTATTTTCCTCAACCCCTTCCCTTGATAGGGTCTAATATAACCTGGTGTTAGCCTGGTATAGTACCACCTTGGATCCCATACACTTTTAGGTACATTTTACCTTCAGTGTTAATGTTTTTTTTCTTTCCCACAAAAATGTATGTTTGTATCTGTTCTGTCATAAAGATTTTCCATGAACAAGGTATTATTTCTAGTAATCCTTTGGAGTCACGAAGCTCTAAGAAGAAGATTTTAATTGACCTATTATACTTGATGGGGTTGAGTCAGAGGTAGGGTTATAAAATCATTATTTTTAAATATCTGCATGTTGGTTTTTTATTTATTTAAAAACGCATAAAATACTTTAAAAAAAAACAAACAAAAAAAAAAACAGCACTGGCAAGCTCCTGCAACATTTCTGTCTAGCTTCATGTTTTTACTGTCACGCGGATTTTACATAACATGATGAAACACAGATGCACTCTGTCAACACACCTACTGTAGTAGATTGAAAACACCTCTTCTTTAAGGACGTGCTGAGACATGATGCGATCAAACACTGGAGTAATACCATCGATGGCCACGCTGGGATAACCCATCCCTAGGACCCCATCAAACTTGGCAAAAATAAATGGCATGGCAGACAAGGAGGTCGCTTCAGCAAATACTTGAACAACAGGGAGACCACCAACCTGCAGGGATCAAATACCCAGAGGACATAGGGGTGTAATATGGCATACAGAGGGCCGGCCTTTAAGGGAACTAATGATTTATGTTCTGGAGTCTGAACTCACCACAACAACATCCTCGCTCAGAAATCCCCTGATGGTTCCAGAAGCGTAATTGATTGAGAACCCGGTGCCATTCTCAACATGAGTGTGGGACTGGGATGAATCATATCTGTTGTGAGTAACTAAACATTCAAAATCATCAGTTAAGTCAAAAACAAAGCAGAAACCAATATTGGATCATGATCCACCGTAGGGAATCATCTCTACAATTAAAAAACAATGTTTATGGGCTTCAGAGGTCTGTCTACCTACAGCTATTTGATGAAAAAAGTGTATGTAATTCATACAGAAAATAAACCAAACCTGGTTTACCAGGTAAGATATTTGAATCATTGAATTTTGTAACATCATCTATGCTACAGACAAATCACTGCTCACTTTACTTGGATGGCTTTTCAATTTCTTGAAGACAAACAGCTTTACGATGAGTTTAAATTGACTCTGAAAGTGACATTGTGGTTGATGCCAATAGTAACAACAATGCAGATAGATAAACCATCTCTGAGTGCACAGCAAGATAAACCTTTAAGAAGATGGGCTGCATTAGCAGAAGACAAAATTCTGTACCGCTCATTTTACATAAGCACAGGAAACTAATGCTACAATTTGCACTCACTCCCCAAAACTGGAGCAGATTACAAAAATTTGCCTGATCAAATTAGTTTTGATTTTAACTGTAACATTCAAAGAATTGGGTCAGAATTTTAATAAGAATGGCCTAACAGCATGGATCCATCCTGCCTGTGGTAGTGTGATGTGAGTTATATTCTACAGGTACACCCGGGCCAACAGCTTGACCCCTAAAAACCAGTAGACACCAGTAGAGATTTAAACACCACAATCTTTCACAGTAAGGAAGCCTAGGCTGAAGTTCAACTGAAGAAACTAAATTACCTGCCCTCATCATTAGAGGCTCACTTGCCTTTGACTCAAATCAATCAGCTTTGAACCGCACCTCGACGAGGCCCAATCAGCATCCAGAGTTCATTTTAAAAGGTCTTCAAATCCACGACTCAAACTGCTTCCCAAAACGCAGGCAGTGGTTATACTATGTCTGATTTTGACTAAGATGACCCCGATTCAACAAACTTCAATCCCCTTCTCCAACATCGTAGCTAAGCTCCATCTGGCTTTTCCATGGTGCTTCTTCAACCTCGTCCCTATCAGAGTGTAATTACTCCCAGACTCTTATTGCATTTACCGCCACATCTCAACCAATCCGGCAGAAGACCGTCGTGTTGAGCCTGGTTCTGCCAGAGGTTTCTTCCCAAAGGGCAGTTTCTCATCTCCACTGTCACTTCATGCTTGCTCATCATGGACAGGTTCATGCATCATCTGTGTATCCAAGGTGGGTATCTATCTTTCGGGTCCCGAGTGAAGCACTAGTATCAGCTCACACAGTCTACTGAACCAACTTAATTAGCTTATGCACATTAAAGTCAAATTCAGCACTAATGTTTCCTGTTGATATCTGAACGCAAAAGTCTTAAAAAAATTGTTTCAATACATTTTTTTTATTGTCTTTTTCTTTCCGTGTGAGTTTTTCAGATTGAAATATTGCTGCCAAGGGTAATCCTTGACTACTGCTTATACTCTGATAGCTACTTCCAGCATCATGTCACAAGGATCAATTGACCTTTAACTACTTTCTTAAAAAAAAAAAAAAAGTTCACTATACCCAGATGTTTCCCACAGGCACCAGACCTAAATCCCTAAGAACCTTTTTATGATGTAAGAAAGGACGTGTCATACCATCATCCATACGTGGACCTGAGAAAATTAGAAAGTCCCTGAGAATCATTTCTGACATGTTGATCATTCATATAAACCATAAGGAATTAAAGCAGTTCTAAAGGCAAAATGGGGTCCGGTTTGGTATTAAGAAAGCAAATGAATATCACAGTTTACAACAGGCTTTAATATGAAATGCACCTTCAAAATTTTAGTTATTGTCACTTACAGCAGGCAGTGGAGAAAGGCGAGCAGCTCTGTGAGGGCACCCACAGGTTGGCAGAACCTGTATCAAACACCACGTTGAACATCTGGGGAGGGGAACCAATGCTGATTTCCCCAAAGTACTGAGTCTGTTTAAAGACAAACAGGACATTGTTTCTGATGCTTTTTAAAGGCTCCTTTTTTTATCTGTGATTTTTCCCACAAAGTTTGAGGGAATGAAAGATGACACCAGGAAAATGACTCATGAATGAACCTTCAATTCAAAGGGAAATGGATCTGCTGTTTTTCACAAGAACACATTTTCAGCATTGGTCCAAAAGGTAGTGATGAAGGCTCTTGTATATGTGGGCCCCTTAACCCCAAAAACTTGGATCTGCTTTTGTTTAAACCTCCAACAGCAACCCCAGGTGCCTTTAATTTAACAAGTCTTTATATCCTGTCACCTGCAGAATATTTAACACTACAACATATTCTTGATATGTTTCAGATTTTTTACTTGGAAATACACTAATAAAACATGTAACTGGACGTAAAAAGAAATCTCACATCCAAATAGTTGGTTAATGGTGTGGGAACAGTTCCATTGTTTGGGCCTGGCGTGTTCATCTGGGCCAGCTCAGTCAACACCTGCTCTGGAGAAACTCCCATCTCCCGTAGAGTCTCTCTGATGGATGGCATCTTCTTGAGAGCAATTCTAAAGACAGAAAAGGAAAATAGGAAATTTGGGAAACAACCAAAAAATAAGGGGAAAAAGAGAAATGAAACTAAATACAAGGAGAGCAAATAAAGGTGGTGACAGAAGAAAGGTAGTTTGAGTTCTATGAAAAATTTTTCAATTTCTGACACATGTTCCTGGTCATGATCACAGTATGTCAATGTGCTTTTAATGAAGCCCAGACATAATTTTTCTGAAAACTCCCAGCTAGAAAAAATAAATGAAAACACATGCTAATCCATCTGTAATCAAAAGCTTTAGTAAAAAAAGAAAAGAAAAAACAACAAAAGCCATTTGTTACCCTGTCTTCATTGGTTTAGTCGCTTGCTGTCACTATTCCTTTTGCAATGGCATGTTTTCTCCCACTGAAACATGTCTGACACCTAACAAACCTGGACTGCTGTTACTACTTTACTGTAATAGATTTGAAGAAGTGTGTTATCTACCTTCTTAAACCATGGCTCGGGGTCAGTGATAGAGCAACCAAACATATCCAGCAGCTCAGCGACATAATCATGATGACCTCTCTGACAGCAGGCAGAAAAACCAGGCTAATAATGCTGACACTAGATTTTAGCTTTTCTTGACTGTAAAGATTTTGGTTGGTGCAATCCAAGGTGGTGAATGCTGCATCTTATAGTGTTTGTTTCTCAACCTGTTTTATAGCCGGTCCTCTAAACTGCGCTCACATCATTTAGCCACTCAGCTTGGAGCTTTCCTCAAGATGACCTCTTGAAAACAAACCCTACCCCCAACCAATTCCTCTACACTGATTCACAACCCCTCTAGTATTAAACATGACCCAGAGGGAGATCTGACCCCTCGTGCCCTGAGGACCAAATTGGGTACACAGTTTTCTAGACTGCTGGCGTCAGAGACTCAGACACCGTCTCTGCAGGGTTGTGGGAAGCTTCATAGACAGGGAAGATGCTGTGTTTTGTCCATACAGATATAGGTAAGATCATAAAGGCAACGAAAGCAAATCCTGAGTCTACCTAAAATCTTTATTGTTCCAGTTCATATCTCGGAATGTGTACCTTATTTTCCTGTAAAGGCTGCAAAAATGCCTCATATCTCTTCAGGCTCCTTACCTTTTTGTCTCCTTTTCTTGTCTTCAGTTGTTTGATTTGGATACTGACTGAGTAATAAAACACTACCGGCTGTTAGATGTAAGCTAAACTTTATAAAAAGATTTGGCTTTAACAGAAAAAAAAGTTTCTATAAATGACCACAATTTGTGAAAGTATTAAAGCCACAAAGACACGGTTATTTTGTATGTATGCAGTATCCAGTTCTTTTTCTAAAATGCTCTTCTTTTGCTTTACAGAGGTTTTATTAACGCTTTTAAAGTTGACAGTCATCATTAACAATAGTTTAAAAAAAACATGGTTAATCACTTTTGTTTATTTTTATGTAGATTACTATTCTCTGATAGTAAAATTGTTGGATTACCCAAAAAATTACAGGAAACTTATAAATACACTGTAAGAATCAATAGCAATAACCTAGGCCTCACTAAAAAAATGTTTGGCTTAGAATGTACATATAATAAAAACATAAAAATAAAATATTTAGGAAAATGAAAAATAAGCTAAGTTCAAAAGCACCCAGACAAAAAATGAAAAAACCCTAAAAAAACAAACAAACATAATTTATCGAATATTAGACACCCTTTTTAACTTTCAGTAAAAATGTAAATGGAAGATTGGAAGATTTGAACATTCTTAGAAGGAAAATATATGCAAACTTGTACCAGAGACGAACAGGGAACAGGGTTGATTTTAATAAAAATATGTAGTTTTTAAGATCTAAAATAGAGTATAGCTTGTAGAAAAATCTAAACTTATCATTGTGCTTATGTGAGACTATAAACAATTTTTTTGACAGATCTCTGCAAAGATGTTTGCTTTTCTGCTTTTACACCAGTTTCAGGGCCATGCTCCAGAGAAGATTAAGCTAAATACCTGTCCACACCCTACCATTTGATTAACTTCTGCACTGTAAAAAAAAAAATCCAAGTAAATAAATCTTTCTTAAAATAAGTCATTTTTTTCTTAAGTTGAGCAGGTAAGTGAGACACTTTGCAAATGGAATAAAACATCCATCCATCTATCCATTATCTAAAACGCTTGTCCTGAGTGGGGTTGCGAGGGGTGCTGGTGCCTATCTCCAGCAGTCAATGGGCGAGAGGCGGGGTACACCCTGGACAGGTCGCCAGTCCATCACAGGGGAATGGAATAAAACAATTTACATAAAAAAATAAATACATAAATAAACAGCAGTCTCTTATTGCAAGTGCATAATATCTGAATATTTTAAGGGTAAAAGTGTCAAATAGGGTGCCATTCAGAAGACATGTGGATAAAAAAAAAGGTGAATTTTTGAAATTAGCACCAAACAACTTTTAATCTTTTTATGCATTTAATCCCTTTACAAAGAGGTTTAGAGCATATTATGCAGGACTAGGTTGCAGCTTTTCAAAATGGAATTGAACTCAGTGTTTGTACTGCATTTTGCACCATATATATTTATTTATCTTGTGCACTGCTCTTAACCTTCCACATCATTGCGTTTTGCACCATGTCTCTCCTACACTGTTTACATTTTGATCAGTGCTGCACTTTATAAATAGAAAGCTTCATTTTCACTACTAAGCTGGTCCTTATTCAACTGTCAAAAAGCTGTCCATAACAAAATTTTGTTTTGTATACGCTTTGTGTATACAAAATGAACAAAAGGGTTATCAAAGTCTAAGTCTTTTCTAAACATGCAGTTAACTTTGCCACTTGCGGCATTTTTTCTTTGCATGTGTTTCCATGTTAGCCACATCCATGCATTTGCTTTGGTCTTTTCTGTTTTGTGAGATACCAGCTGTTCTCATTTACAGCTTTTTGCTTGTGCATGTGTTTTTTTATATGTTTGTGTTTAGTCTCATTTTCGTTCTTACTAGTCTAGCATTTGTGTTTGATAGTTTATTTTTTGATTTTTAGATGAAGGACCTTTTCAATTTACTGTGAAATAATATATTAACATGGAATTTGTACCCCACTTCTGCTGTATTTAATAGAGGTTTTAATGTTTATGCTGAATAAAGTCCAAACAGACCACGCAGAGTATAAGCACAGATCACTTTCCAAAGCTGCTGCGTTAATAGTGGAGTGGATGTCATTGCTCCCATTAAGTTTGTCTTCTTTTAACACCCTTCAAATATCATTAAAGCTGACATGTCTATATTCATCTGATGAAAAACATCCAGCTGACAGAGCACTCAAATATGTTTTCACCAAAGCCTGCAAAAAAGCTTAATATACATCTGTAAGGTCAGATCGGGGTCTTTGATAAAAAATGCTGGTAGGAGGCAGAGACCATACTGAGTGCGTTTTCCAGATGGAGAGGGATTGACAGTGTTCGGTGTTTTCATACACACCTTGCTGCTGTGCTCAGACTTGACATGATTTCTACTCAGTGCCTTGTTTGAACTACAAAATTCCCACGCTATTTTGTTTGACAGGACGTGCTTTTGCGCTGATATTTGTCTGACTACACAGTTAAAGGATGTTCCGGATATCAGAAAGCCATTGGGAAAATTAGTGGTTAGTCCACAAATTATATCCTGCATACAGAGGTATTTTGTGAAACTAATCCAAGTGTTTATCTTTAGCAGAACTCATTAAAGCAATGGTGCCTTCACAGGTCTGCCTGAAAGTTCCATTAGACAACTGCTGCTGATCTAGAATGTTGCTGCCCACGACCTCATTAAATCTAAAAAAAAATGAGTACATCACCCCAGTTCCAAATTCCCCACACTGGCTCCTTGTATCTCAAAAAACAGGTTTTAAAACAATTGTATTATTGTATAAATCACTGAATTGTTTAGCATTAAATAAATTACAAACGTGTTGTCAGTGGCTAAACTGCCCAAACCTTTCAGGTCTTCTGGCTCAAATCTACTCTGCATGTCCAGAAAAAGAACCCAACATATAGAAGCAGCTTTAAGTTCTATTGCACCACTTATCTGGAACAAACTCCCAGAAAACTGTAGTGTTGAAACCTTAAGTTGCTTTAAATCAAGGCCCTTGACTGAGCTCACCTAACATTATTAGTTTTAGTTTGTAGTCTAACTTTGTTTGATTTCATGATCATGTTTGTAGGTATTTTGTTTAATCATATTACATTTTTACTATTCATGTTTATGCTCTTTCATTCATGTTCATTAATTATTAAACTTTTTTTATTGTCTTGCTAATGAAATGCTATATATAATTAAAATGCAAGGAATGAGACACAGCTTTCAACTTTCCTTGGCTAACAGAGGAAAAAAGCAGTGCTTCAATGCACAAAATAATTTCCAAAGTGTGGCCAACGTTTCTTTATTATTTATTATTATATTCCCCAAAGAAAGAAGCCAAAAAACATAAAACTTTTATAAATCAGCCTAACCTAACAAGTCATACAAAAAGATTTAAATATCATACTTCAGTTCCTCAATTTGTCCCATTGCAACACATTTTATGTGTCAAAAAACAAGGAGGTCTGCATAAGTCTGAAGTTAAAGGAGAAGATACACTTTTTGATGTATGGTCGGATAAAAAGTTAATTTCTATTCGTTCCCCTTTACTTTGATTCAAAAGCCACCTTATTGCAAGAAGGCAACTATTACTGTAAAAAAAAGTCAGGAAGGGTCATGTTTAAAGGTAAAATATGTAGTAGCGCTTTGGACAGATGAGACCCAAACTCTACATTTGTTAACATGCAAAATGCTATATGTGATGGAAAATGCCATCTTCATGGTGGAAGATTATATGGGCAGCAGCATGATTTGGTGATGCTTTTCTTTAGCAAGTAAAGCAAAGATGTTCTAGGTTGATGGGAGTGTGGACAGGGCTAAATGCAGGGTGATTTGTGGTGGAAAAGTTTGGAGGCCACAGACACACTTGGAACTCAACCTTACAGATGGATAACATTAAACCTACGAACTGTTATACTAAGGTTTAGATAGAAGCTTTTTTATTCGTAAGAATGGCTGCGTTAAAGTCAAGACCTTAAATACAATACAAAATCTGTAGCAAGTTTTTAATAAAAAAAAAAA